CGCTTTTTAATACTGATTTACAATAAAAACAGAAATGTTTCACCGGCGATTGATGTGAGTTATGATTAATGTACGCTCTTTGATGTTCGCTGCTATGAATCTATCAAGTTGGCTTCTGAATATCGACGCGGGACCGTGTATAAATAAACCGGGACGAATTCGACGAGCCGTCTTCGTTTTAGTTAATTACGAGGTTATTAAAGTAACATTGCTGACTGACTAACAAAGTTTCCACTCGGCAGAGATGTACCGAACACTTTCCGGTCATTATTGAGCCCGAGTCACGCCAAGCGTTGTCACGGTACACACAAATTACATATTTGTGATGTTTTTTTGTCGGATAAAATTAGACTAATCAGCATCGAGTACAAAGAAGCAGATCGCTTTCATCATCGACACGATGATGTTTACATCGGATCTTCCGAGAAGCGAGCTCAGCATTCAATACTAAGAAATAAATATGTGAGTTTGACATTTGCTTTCAAGTTGCGCTCGCGTGTTTGGAGCGTAATTACGGGCGTCGCCGTCGAGCGAGCGAGACCGGGCCCACGCGCACACTACTTACCATTTATTTTTGTCCTTTTTTCTAATGTAACTCTAGGCTTTTTTTGTTATTAAATTAACGTGCGTGCCGATTTCTGACAAGATGATAGGTTGTGTTTGATGGGGCATCTGATTGCTTCTCTTGTCGACATCCCTCGATGCTTTCTCTTTGATTTGCTTGGAAATCAGAACGAGAAAGGTCATGTGTGTTTGTGTGAGCTCGCATATCTATAATCAAACTTGGATTTACATTCGCGAAAACATTATTATTTATTTTCTTTGGTCTTGTTAGAGTCGATTCAGTTGCGAGTCGCGATTGAGAACTCAATGTTGAATGTCAAGCGATACGTGTTTATGTTGATGATCTTTTGAAAGTATGTTGCGTGTGTAATTTCTATTTCAAATTGGTTATTTTAACAAGCCTGAGGTTAGTCATGTTTATCGGGTCTCGTATATCTATTGATACAAATCTATCGGTCGATATAGCCATTCTTCACGATGTCAGACGGTCGTGTCTTGGCATCGTCGTAGCATCGTAAATTATCAACGAATAGACCACTGCAAATTAATGTCGATAGATCGGTCCAGTTGTTAACAAAATTTATCATTAGCTTTATAGCGCGATGGATAACAATAAATTTGAGAAGAGTAGTGAGCCACCACACTGTAAGTTCAGGACAAACAAAATTGAACGCACTGACATTCTAAATTACAGTGTGTACATTTTGGAAGATTGAATTAAAAATTGCGAATAGTGAACTAGGTTTTGATGAAATTCATTAAAATTTGAAAGAAATCATTATGAGACGACAGAGATGAAGGAAAGCTGAACATTTGTCAAAAGTAATGAGTGTTGCGAATAGAGGAAGCGAAATATTACCGATATATTAGTGCCAGAAGTGTGGAACATCGGAATGTGTGATCAAAATTGTAGTCTCGTATCCGGCGCGAGAGCGGGCGATCATCGATAAATGTCAATAAAGTCTAAATTAGTATGGAGTGCCGCCATCATTAGTCAAGTCAGTCGGGATATAATTCAGTGTCGAACTCTACCAGTTTACGACGACCAACACATAATAAGAGCACGGACGCCCCCGAAAATAACAAAATTAAAATAAATCGAACTACAGACAAACGTCATAAACTAATTTCGAGTGTTTTCGTTTTGGTGTGTACAAAAATAGCTTCGTCACTCTTTCATGTCTCGCCGTGAAGTGACATTAAACTATAATTTACAGTTGGATTTTAGTACAGCGCCATCTATGCCCACGGAGATGAAAGTAACGTTTTTACTGCCTAAAAAGAAAGGTGTTTATGATTTATGTAGAACTATTATTGCTTTCTGAAATTAAATAGTAGCGTCGTATAAATGTGTACGTAGGTATTGTGATGTTTACCCAGTTTTGATGTCAGGTGTCTGTATACGTTTAATGACAGGTGCCTGTACGCACGAGATTTAAAAAGATTCGTTTCTAAAACAAGTTTTATTACAGAAGGGCGCTATCTGTCGGCGTAATTATGTTACTAACTGCTTGTTTATGATACAATAACTTTATGTATAAGTATAAAGTTTCTGTTGATTTAATTGTTTAAGAAAAACAAGCTGAGATCTTGTTATCTTTTGTCGCAATGTGTAACCGTCAACAGTGTAAAACCCTTGATACTTATGTTGCCAATGAGTAATACATTTATTCTAGTGGACAAAGCCCACAATTCTTTTCAACATATCTATTTATACATTACACTGTACATCATTATCTACATATTTATTCGCGTTCGTACTCAGATCTTTAAGTATCAACTAAAAGCAAAATTATCAATGATTTCAGTAACACAAAAATGTAGACGATTTACAAAAAAGAATCATCATCGCCTGTCATTTATCTCAATACGACGATGACACGTTAAATCTTATTTCGTTAATTCTAACAAGGCAATTGATAGAAATGGTCACAGAGTTGAACTAACTGATGTTGATGATGGTCGTGAAGGTCCATTAGAGACACAATGTACTGAGAACGATGGAAGTGGAGATTGATTTCTAAACACTAAAGATAATAGTTTACATGAACAGGTCAATGTTTTAAACGACACTGTTGCACAAAGAAGAAAAATTTACCAGGAACGAGGAAGCCCAGACCCCTGCACCCCTTTTACAATAAAAGTGTAAAAATCGAAATAACCACAAAAGAGTAAATAAGGCCGGAGACCAAGACAATGGGCCGGTAGGCATGTATTCTTTGATACTTTTTGATTGTTCGACAAATTTCGAGGAAAGGAAACAATTTTTCAGTGGATAGAGCCACAATTCCAAACTTATTAACCTTATCGAAGGGTCAAAAGTTTTTCCTTCGCAGTTTTTTTTGCAAAGATTTTAATTAAGTTGGTGAAAGGGTGACGCTATGTTATTCCTTTTTGATGACATTCCGATAATAGGACCTCTTTTTCGTTTGATAACTTTGCTTTGAATTTGATTGGCTAAGTTTTTTCTTTAAGAAACCTTTGAAATGTTATTGATTGGTCCCTTGCTCCCATTTTTAAACTTGAAGAAATTTCCCAAGACAATTCAGTACGGTACAACTAAATAGAAAGAAAGTTTTCTTTTAATCTCAAAACTACGATAGAAGATTAAAAAGTGAACAAGTGAAATAAATTCAGGAGACACCGCTGAAGCTCACTGAACACATCGATATTTCGCAACGCCATACGAATTAGCATAAAAAGCGGCGTACTATCAAAAGTTGTTCGTTCGGTACCTTTATCGGATTGTTTATGGCTAGTTTGTACATGGAACTATTGCTGTGGATTGTTTGCATTGCGCCGTCATAGTACTTTGTGACTGCACTGGCAGGAGTTCGCGCAGCGTTGTACGGTAATTCGTCTTTAAGATAGTGCTTGTAAAGGCATTCCTCCGCACAAAGGCGTTCGTTACGGCAAATAACAGCTTTTATATCGCGAACTCATTGAGTTTCGACACTGTGCAAGTATTCTGGAGGGCTGCGTTCTCAACACCGTTCACGTTATCGTGTTCTACAGTTTTTTGTCTTTTTGTCACTTCGATGGCTTTTGTATTTAATTTATTCTAACATGCTCAATCTTTATTTCTTTTGCTTAGGTGTACACCTAAAATAATATCCTTTTCTAAAATCCTCATTTTCATTAGCTTCGGACTTAAAGGCTAAAACTCCAATAAACCCATACGTACTTGTAATTACATAGAGCTATTGAATCCCCAACAAAGAGATGAAAATTCGTTTCAAATCCGCGTTTTCGCTTGCTTTAAATTCGGTGATTCAATGGACTAATGATTCTGAAGCATGAATGGGTGCATTCTGAAAGGCTCGCTTGCAACTAGGCTTCTTTGAAATTCGGCCGCATTGGCGATGAGTACCACTTCAAATGGATGGGGGTCTGTTTTTGACTCATGAATTGTTTGTGTAGTTTCTTTCATGTAAATGTTGTGTTTGTTTTGTTACTGTGTGCTGTAGAGTCTTCTATGTATGTGCTTACCATAGTCATACATACTTTTAGGAAATGTACTTTATATTTTATCTCATGAAAAAGTGTAGAACAAGTTAGAATCAGATGAACTTTCGATCTTAGTTCAAAAGAACAGCTATGAATAATATCTGAGACATAGTAGTTTCTACACACGTAGTATCGTCAGGTCGGTATCTTGTCATCAGCAGACATTGTAATCTGTTTCTCAGCATGCGAAGGTGCGTGACAGTTATAACTGCAACCTTCGCACAAACGTGCACACATACATGATATTATGCTGTGTATTTGAGTTTACCATGCTTATTATAATACATAGATTTATTTATTTTTATGTGTAAGCACGATTGTAAAGTATTAACTAGCTCGTCAAAATTACAGAAGAAATCATCTCATATGGTATTAACTCTTTCATCTTCTCTATAGATACGATTGTCAAAGTCTTATCACCAGACTCTTGACATTTAAACTCGATAGTCAATCGTTTGTCCCCTAGCTTCGTAACTTCCACATGACTTATGCGATCGAGGTCACCCGGTCAACTGGATAGACATTATGAGTAAAGGATGCAGCACAAACGCAGCTCATCTTGTATCGAATGTAACGTACGATCAATAAATCAATTACGTGCGCGGGGGCAATGCTGAATTGGGTTTGACAGTCGGTTAGAACTAGGGATGTGTTGCGCGATCTGTAGGTGGGATTTTATCGATATTATTTTAATGTGGTAGGACGATAAATGTTTTGTATGAGTAGTTATTTTGGTTGACAATTAGTAAATAATAATAATATTGATTACGAAAATGTAAGTATTGTGTATTAGTAACAATTGAAATGGCTTTGTACAACAGTAAACATGAAGGTTTTATAATAATCTAAACGATAAGATCGTCTGGTAAATCGTTAATGAATATAAATGCAAAGGATATTAAGAAATAAAATATAAAATACAATAAATACTAATGCCTTATAAACTGAAATAATAAATGTAGTTAATGCAAAGATACAATCTATGCACTTATTATTTGTATCGATATCAATAACTATGGACTATCGATAAATGATCGGATTGCACATCCCTAGGCAAAGGAAACAGGATACGTTCAATGGGATGATTGATCGGTACCGAACGAACGTAATCCTTGCACTAAATAAATATCACCGTTTATGAGCCACGCTGTAAGACACGCGACACCACTCTTATTTATAGGACACAGGCTAATTGGAATACTATGTCTACACACTACTAGAGGGTAGACAATTACTAGTGAAGGAGACGAAACAGAAACGTTTGCACGTACTTCGAAGAAAAAACAAAATATTTTGAAGAGGAAACTTTAGTTGTAAATGTGCGACTAGAGAACAAACATAAAAAAGAAACCTACCCTACATACGCAAAACGATAATCTTCTTACAAGATTTTTTTCAGAATAGGCCGGAAATCCCAGAATTAGATCTAAATCTACCATTGAACGAATGCCACGGAGCTATAGTTATCTAATACGACATTATCTTTTCAGTCTTAATTGGCATTGGCAAGCGATCACAGCGCGCTGCTAATTTCAATTAGTGTTGTGCCAACACCGATGTCGAAATGTCGACAAGACATGATAAGTTTTTTCCGCACCTCTTAAGAGTGAACACTTGTTTTGCGTGATGCTACTTCTAAATTGAGTTTCCATGTTAGACACGTGAATGTGTTCGCAATTTTTAGTGAAATCGATTTTATTTTTACACTTTACTGGCCCACTTCTGTTTCCTAACTGCTTTATTGTTGTGCAACTTAAAACAAGCTTCTTTAAAAGCTTTCTTACAACAAAGTTTCACTCTAAAAAGTTACGTGCCTAGTCAGGATGCCCTCACGTTTTTTGACCAACTCTCACGTGAACAGTAGACATAAATTGCAGTACATTACGAGTCTTAACGGACTCGTATTTTGTTATTCCTGAGTCACTTAATTCCCAAAATGTACACAATCACCTATTCATTTAAGAGTCGATAACAAATGTTGGCCGCCCACCAATCGATCAATCAATATTATCGATACAGTCAATTAACGCAACTCGGCTGGGCGCAACTCTAATTGAGAGCAATAGAGCGGTGATGCAGCGTTTGAGTCAATCGCTTGTGTTGTCATAACTGGTAGATGGCCGCCCACATGCTCCTATGATCGTGGATAATGGCAGTGATATATGGACAGATTCATGTACATTAGTAGGACATGCTATGTACGTGTGTACTACATAGGTATGTGACGTGATTTGATTACAATTTATAGATACGTTGACAGGTATAGTGGTTTGATACACCTGCCTAGTTTTTCTTAGCTTCTTATATTTTGAAGTTAAAACAGTTAGAAGCTTACCTCTTTCTCTTTAGCAGCAAGCTCTACCTCCAGATTCCCTGGCTGGTGGACCACGGGACTACTCCTGGAGGAGTTGCTGTTACTTCTCCCAGTGGCTGCCATCTCCATCTTCTGTTCTACGTCGTCATCAACGTCTTGCTTCTCTTCTTTGATGTCAGGACTGAACCTGTCGATCCTCGTCTCCGTGGCTTGATCCCTGGTGGGTTCTATGTGGGAGCCATTGGTTTTAGGGACTGTGGCCTGGAGAGGGGTCGGGCTTGTGGTGGCCAGTTGTTCTTTCAACGTGGTCACTTCTTTCTCGGCCAGTGTGGCTCGCTGAAACAAAGAAAAATAATAGTTAATATACATAAACTGGATACAATGTTGTGTATCAGTTAGGTATACAAAACAATTCGACGTTCCATCAATATCCTCAATTAAAACCACAACAATAACATTCTAGAGGAAGTAAATTTTTCACAAGCGCAAATGAATTAATCTAATCTAATTACCAGTTCCCATAGTGACGTACTTCCGGTAACATCATCATGGAGGCTATCAGCGATCGCCGGAAGTACGCAGCTATTGGCGGTTAGATCGGTGAAATAATGAAAAGGTGCTCGATGCATTGTTTATAATAAAAGGTCATCAATGTATTGTTGAAACAAATCATTTGAAGTGTATTTGTTACAATAATTATTCATTTTGATGTCACATCGCGTCCTGATGGTACGACATAATGTGATACACATCACCCCATGAAGGTATCATATTCACTCTAAATATGAAACCAAAAATGTAATCACAAAATATCTATTTCGAAATTACGAAAACTGAAATAATGAGTCATTAGCTAAAGAAAGCTAAAGTATAAAACTGAGTGAACACACGCGTGACTGCACGGCCCCTGCACAGATGTTATGATATGGACGCAGATTAGAAGGGTGCTGCCAGACCAAAGGCGGTTGGCGTCGCGGTTTTTGGATAGTCAGCCACACCTAACCAAAACGATGACTGTATTAAGCAAAAAGCTGCCATTAAAAAAAAAGAAAGAAAGAATGGAGATAATTCTGAGTATGCTGAAATAATTATAAGTTAAAATACTCCAATCTTTAAAAGACGAAGGGTTAGTGGCAGATGAAAATCTAGATAGGGAAGGTAATAAAATTTTCTCTTTAACAGTACTATCCACGATAGCGTTAACGCAGCGTTAAAATCTAAATCTGAAATGTCTGACAATCACGCACTAGCATTTACGCATTGAACGCAAGTTTCTGATGAAACCAAAGATCACTGGATTATACTCCATACCTGTCTAATTATATCAACCAGTAAACTTTCTTCATATCGTATTAATCTTCACTTGTATCAAGACAATGTGTACTCTCTTTATCTTTCTTAATTCATTTATTAGTGCGAACTATGTTGCTTCAAATATTTGGAGGTTTTACCGCCAATTTAGTGCGATTCTTGGTTAAGATATATGATCATTTGTACCACTTATGGAATATTTCCAACGTCACTCAAGAGATGGCTATCGCTAGCAACAGTTGGATTGCACATAGTTAGATGTGATAGTGAACATAAACAGGAGATGCTAATGGCGTCCTAACTGGAACATGGCACGACGTCTCAAAACGATCAGGATTCCAGGAAAGTGTTCCAATACAGCGATAGGTAAATATTATTACGTGCCTCCAAGTCTTAATGTTTTGCTACAGAATTAGTTATTGCTTTAAATATTATGTTAAATCCTACAGATATTATGGTAATACGTGTAGATTCCTGGGATCATACTGATATTTCAACAAATAAATCGCAGATTTAGTAATCACTCATACGGACTTGAGAAATTAAATCTAGAATCAATTTGAATGATATATTACGAGAGTACATTTAAAACACTTGCTATATTATTATATCAAGCTTTCTCAGAGCGTTATTAGTGTCTAATAATATTTTTGATAGTTTCACATTTGTTGGTAACCGAATATCCGATAATTCCTATCACCTAGCACCAAATTGACGGTGTCCCGATTACGTAACGTACGCTCAATTGAACAAGATTGATCACTCAGCCTCGTTGACTGACTCAGTGCAGTGTTTTAAGAATAAATGCCCTTGGAGACTGTCGTCATCGAGACCTTAGCGTGATAACATTGTGGGTAGTAGAAGTAGGGAAGAAGGAAATGGTAGAGCAAAATATACAAAGAGAAAAGTCAGTAGAACCTGATTGAGTCTCTTATCGTGTACGATGTTTACACGTGCCTATTTTCCAGTTAGAAATACGAGTCCCAAAACATAGTTGCAAGTGTAATGTATATTTATCGTGTCATCTCCGTGCAGCCAGCCATGAAGCCGACCATTACAAGTTATCTGTACAGAATATAGAAAACCGCCATCGTAAAGTGCGTAATTCAAATTAAACTTTAAACAGAGACGATGTACTTCGACCGAATAATTTTATGTTTTACAACTAGAAAGTCGAAATATACGAAAGTATGAAAGTAGTCATTAAGAGGGAAGTGGCACATTCAATTAAAATAGAAGAAGAATTATCAGCATTGTGTGAACAGTAATGAGAATGTAATAATTCTGAATAATTAAAACAAGTCGATGTCGTCAAAAATGTTTTTATAATAGCCCAAAAGACATTTTAGATGCGTATAATGTGAGAAAGTAGATTTTTTTCGATTGTGTGGACAAGAAAGGTGAGTCGCACTCGACATTGATGAATTATAAGCTTTGAACATGAAAGAGATGGGAAACTTTGATGGCTGTGGAACTGGGCCGGATTGACGCGACGAATTATAGATATCATTGTTCCAAATATATTTTGTGCGAAATCGTGAAACAAGTTTGTGGTTCCACTAATGTCGGGTGCGAGGTCATGTTGTTTGATGTATTCTTTTCAATTACCGGTAAAGAAAATGTAGTAGATAGAAATTTGCATATTGGTTCTGAACAAAGAGTAATTAATTGTGAAGATTAAATCCTAGCGTATAGTTGTCTACCCGAACTTACATTACCAGAGATAGCCATCAATGACGATCCGTTATTCAAAAAGAACCTGGCTGGAGTGCACGGTTCTAAACCAACAATTAAAGCGATGGCAACAAACCAACAAAGAGTACTTATCTATCCGAGTCATCTGATTCTAAATTTTAGTATGTTTGTGCAATAGATTAAGTCGGTGTAATTTTAGTAATTGAACTCTCACGATTAACAATTACAGTTACCGGTGGTATGCTTAATGATTCAATGAGTTATTGCGCTCTTAGATTTGGTATAACGTGCTCCAATCAGATCTTGTTGATCAACGTGTTTAATTGCTGGAAATTCTGGCTGCGGGTTACTCATCGTGGTACCGTTTGTTTTAACTATTTTCTGAACACTTCATTACCAAATCTTTTCGATTTACATTTGTTATTTCGTCATTCTCGCTCTTGGATTTATTAAACAAAAGCCGTTTTACTTTGTTTCTACTTTGAGATTGTTTTCGCCAAAACAATAAAATCAATCAAAGTTATACAGTTGGACGATGCTGTAACTCATCAATAAAATCGAGAGGCCACAATTTTGTATTGAAAACTCTTTTGTCTCGATACTCTTTTGTTTGATTCAAACTCTCGATTTGTTTATGATTTGAATTGATTCGCGAAGTGGTTACGATCGAGCTTGTTTATTTATTGTGACGTATAGTTGCGCTGGTGAGGTGAGGGTCGCGAATTTTCCTCCCCTTTGCAGAAGTTTAGCAATGTTTATGAGGTTTGAATTTTTTCACCAACTAAATACAAGGAAAAACGTCGAGACGTAACAATCACGAAAAGGTATAAAAGAAAAAGTAATCTTATTTACCAGTGACGAAAACTCACACTACTAACGATCACGTATCCCCGTAGATATTATTATACTTAGTCGGAAACGATTTAATAATGAAGAGAGATGACATAAATCTTAGTGACTCACCGTCCCCCCACGTGGATATCAAACTAATAATCGAAACCCAAAAATACATAAGAAAACATTATTAACATCTCAACGACATTGTCACTGTCATATTTATAATTTAAAAACGAGAATTTTGTTGCAATATTATTAAAACTCGGAGAGCGATGTTATATTGGCACAGTTTTGAGACTATGAGTCAAAGCACACACGACTGTAACGACATCGGCATTTCGTGTATCCTAATGACTGATAATGACTACAAAAGAAAAGAAATAATGACTAAAACTATGACAATTCTTATGTTTACGATGGAGGAATTGCTAAAGTGACTTTTATGATTATTTGTCGTATAGATACGTCGTCAGTTCGCATCACGTAGGCCTTTGTAATGCGAACTTTGATGTAGAATGAGGCAAGAGAACCGATCGTTACAACAATAATGGTGTTTTAAGAAGCTAGACAGTTTTTACTTTTGTTTGTGGATACTATTAGGTCTGGCCAAGCATTTCATCTGCACACATTTTCCTGATAAGAAGTAAACGATAACAGAACGTTGCTACCAATCAAATCCACGTGTAACACCAACTCAGCTAAAACAATAAAATTATAAAACCTAACAGTAAAATGTATAACAAAAAACATGGAGCCGAAAAATTAAGATTTAATTATAATGAACATGAAACGACCAATTAATATGATACATGGTACGTTAGATCTGATAACAGTAAGGTGAATCTCAATGAGTAACGCATCCGTTTTCTAGAACATTATAAAATTGTAAAGATAATGAAGGAAAACATATATGTTTCGGTGAGAGCCGTCACAGTCGAGCGGTCGCATTAAAATGCTTATGAATTTTTATGTTTTGAAAGTACGGGAATGAGGCTACATGATTATTGTTCAATTAAACTTTATAATTGTTATAGTTCTACTTGCCTTGTTCTATACGAGATGATTACTTCATTACTATACCTTTACGAAGCCAGTTATGAAATGAACGGAAACATTCTTCTTTGTAACAATAAAAACCTTTTGAGACAAAACGCAAAATGTTGATTTAATTAAACGTAATGTCGATCGCTTATGACTTACCCCACGCTGTAACCCTGCGGCGGCCGCCAAGAAAAATTAACGCATACTCGCGAGGGGTCGGTCAGACCCCGCATTATACGGGGAGCGGTCACTAATTAATGGAAAAGGATTAAATTCGTACCGAATTGAAATAAAATAAATATGATAAAGGACGCCCTTCTTGCCTCGGTCGAAGGGCTTCGGGCTTTTGTTTTTTTTTTCGGAACCCAGTCGCTGAAGGATTAGACCGTCGGTAGGACGCAGACAATTGTTTGTTTTGGCTCATATCGATTAATTATTATGTACTCTAGTGGTCATAGAACAGTCTGCTAGACACGAGAAACGTGTTTGTAATTGATACGTGTTTAATATAGGCAAAAACTTAGCCTCACATGATGTAGCGCCCGTCTAGATAGTGTTGCGAACATTATTCTTATAATTGGATGACGATGTCGACGTTTATAATAACTGGTTATTTACAATAGAGGAATAAATATATGAGAAAGTGTTGTTAAGGAAATGTGGTTATTGAATTTTTTATTTCATTTATAAATGTTCGTGTTTTTCTGTGTTTAAGGGTCGATAAACAAATGGTGTGGGCGGCCTT